GAAGAAAATCTTCTAAGTCCTAAACATACATTCAAAAAGGGCGAAGGCATACATTCAAGAGAAAACGACGGCATACATTCGAGAGGAAATGAATTAAAGTAAGCAAATCAAATACACGAGGCCCGAGGAATAACATTCATCAATCATCAAAAAGAAGAGTAAAAGTGATTGTTACAATGATGGCCGGGGCCGAAAGTATAAGAGTGTGACCATTACAAAGCAAGTCCCAAATATTTACTAAGTACAGACTACAAATCAACAACATCATTCCCGGGGGCCGCCGCCTCCGATGGCTTCGAAGTGACCTCTGCATCGGCCTCAGGTTCGTCACCCTCGGCTTCCTTCCGGAGCTCGGTGTCCTCCAGGTCTGGCCTCTCGACATCGGAGGGGAGAGGAACACGGATGTCTGGCTGCAGGGGGAAGCCCGTATGCCGCCGGGTCGAAGTCCTTCGGCTCAATTTTCAAGTGGCGAGCCATCCTCCGGTAGATGAGGGCTTGGGTGAAAAATTCACCCCCATCATAATATTGTTTGCCCTTTCGGGCCATCCATTCCTCGCCCGGGCCCTCGCACCACTCATCGACTGAGGCCTCCACAACCGAGGACAGCCACTCCTTGTGTCCCTCGGCCTTCCACCCCCCATCCAGGAACCTGGAGATGGCCTCCTCTCGGGCTGTGACGACAGTCTTCGCTCTGACGGCCTTGGCCTCCTCGGCGGCTTTCTTTGCGGCCTCCACAGCAGCCTCCTCAACTTTTGCTTTCTCCTCCCTAAGCCTTCCGGCCTCCGCTCTAGCAAGCTAGAGGTCCTCTTCAAGCTGGGCCATCAGCTTCGTGGCCTTGGAGTCCTTGAGAATGAGCTCCTTCATCTTTGCGTCTTGCCCAGCTTTGTGGAGACGCCATTCCTCCAGCCGTCGGGCCTGCTCTCCGAGGGCAATACAGGTCTGCAAAAATAAAGGAGTTAGCAGGGCCGAACATGATTTCCTAGTTCGAAGTAAAGAAGAGAAAGATAACTGTCATAGACTTACCGTGAGGGAAGACCGGAGGATCCTGTCCTCGAGGGCTTGGTCGTCATCGGCCCCGAGGGCTGCCCTGTCAATATCGAGGGTTATACCTCTCAGAAGCGCCCTCGGGTCAGCTGTGCCATTCAACACGGCCGTACCAGCCGGGAGGGAGAGCGTAAGGACCTCAAGAGATGGCTCCCGGACACCCCTCGACACCTTTGCCACCGACATCTCCTCGTGCACCCCGGAGGCGGGGCAATCATCCACGATCACCACTGGGGGGTCCTTCTTCGCGGCGTCCCCCTTCTTCGATCTCTTGGTGGCCTGGGGGGACTCCTTTGCCGTCGGTTTCCTCTTCGCTGCAGCAGCATCGCCCTCGGGCTTCTTGAAAAGCGCACCGACGGGCTTTTGGCCGCCCGCGTCCGACCCCTTCGGATCCTAGGCCGACTTGTTCTTGAATCGAGCAAGGCCTTTGACGTTCATCATATTCACTAGGATACCTGCAAAAATAGTATGGGGTTAAAATTGAGGGGTCACTAACAGAAGGCACAAGAAATAAAAGAACAAACAGATAAACTATGTGCTAAGATATGAAAATGAGGGTGCCCTCAGCCACTACCTCCGGAGGCTCCCTCAAACACCGGGAACTTCTCATCTGTTTCCCCCAGGAAGCGATACCGCCGGAACCCGAGGGTGTAGAGATCTCCCTCTTTAGTGCACTCCTTAATGGTGATATTCTTGTCCCGGCCCTCCGGGATCATGGCCAGAATCCTGCCGTCTTTCTCGAGGGCGGCGCTCCTCCTCTTCTCGTGCCTCCTGAAACGGTCGCGCAACTCCCTCGGGAAGGGGCTCTCGGTCAGCTTCACGTAGCACCACCGGTCCTTCCACCCTTTGTTCGAGGAGGGCGCCTCAGTGAAGAGCTTGAACATGGCCACCTGCTGCAAGTTTGCGAAGCCCTCGGCATTCGCATGCCCCCCCGGCACAGATTGAAGCTCTGGAAGAAGAGGTCCAGGCTAGGCGTCACCCTCCGGGACTTGCAGAGCTGGAGGAAGCCAGTAATGTAAGAATGGCTGTTCGGGGTCAGCTGGTAGGGGACCAGACCCACGAACCGGAGGTACTCCCGGAGGAAAGGGTGCAGGGGGAAGCGGAGCCCCATGGACACCGAGAGAACGTGCACCGCAATACATCCCTCGGGAGCCCGGGAGAGGACGTCATCTGGACCCGGTGTCACTACGATGGCCGAGGGGCCCACGTGAAGCTGAGTGACGTAGATGTCCGCCGCATCAACCTTCGACCTTATTTCCAAAGCGGCGGTGTTCAGGTAGGAGTACCCCTCGGGCATATCGAGGGGCTTCCCTTGATCTGCAACGCTGCCCTTCTTCTTGGGAGCAGCTACCTTGGCCTTCTTCTTTCCGGGGGCCACCCGGATGGGAACCGCGTTCAACGGCGAGAGGTGCTGGCCTCACCAGCACCCCGAGGGGGAAGGACGGCCACGGTCACCCTCGTCCTCTCCTTTGCTTCCTCCTCCTCTGCAACCTGCATGGCGAGGGCCAGCTCTTCGTCTTCCACCTCCTGCTCGAAGCCCTCAGCTTCAACTTCAGCCAACAGCTCCTTCTGCACTTCTACTGCCATCGCAACATCCTCCTGGGCCGAGGACTGTTCGTTTGAGGACTCCACATCCGAGAGGACTTCATCCTCCATCGAGGGCGCCCCCGAGATGTCTTGGGAATCACTCTGTGAAGACATCTATTCACTAGCTCGAGGGCTCGGAAGAACTAAGGTTTCCTAGAAAATTCTATCTCCTAGCCTAAGGGTACAAGGCACAACTAACTAGAAGGAGAAGAGCAGGGGGGAACTGACCTTTGAGAACTGAGGATTGATCGAGGGATGCTGTTTCTCTCTCTAGAAATTTTGGCAGAGCTTCGCTATAAGGATTTCGCACAAGGGGAAGGAAGCCGGCCATGGGGTATTTATAGGTGCTGAAATCCGGGCTTGGGCCTGGAAACCGGGCCTCCGGTTGGACTGTCATCATTACACGCCGTGTCTTCGCCCAACCGGTGACGCCGCCCACGGGCAGCCAACCATCACGCGCCACGTGTACTCCCCCCAACGGCTATATCCTGACGTTACATATTCCAACGGCTATATTCCCAATGACTATATTCTGGGAGCCCCCGGATTTTCTTACTTCACTCCACTTCATCAAGGAGAGCCTCCGGGTACGCTTACCCAGAGACGCCCCCGAGTTGTGCCCCACACAGTACATAACAGTCGCCTTCGGGATCACTCCTTCAGAAGCCCAAGACTTCATATCAGGCCACCCCTTGGGGATTCCCCCTCAGCACTGTAAGGGCCGAGTAGCCCCCAGGGAGTATGCCTCATCGACGGATAGCCTACGGCACACAGGTAATGGGATCCCTCGGAAATCCTCATCACCAACTAATCAACAAGCAGGGGACACCCTGGTAACAATTCAACTACTGCCCTCATCCATCACGCCCTCGATCCCCAGATTGAGGGGCTCCCCTTCGGCACCTCCCATGACATCAACGACAAGCCTCTGGCTACTCAACACATGAGTCCTCATAACGAGGAGTGCCTTCGGCATTTCCATTATTCTCCATTTTGAACCAAGGTTTCATGTTTTCGATTCATCGTTGGGGGAATTCGGTGCACTCTTTTTCCCTCATTAGGATTTTTTCCCACAGGGTTTTTCCTAATGAGGTTTTTAACGAGGCATCCCCCCAAAATGAAACGAAAAGCGTCTGCCTTCGGCCCCATGCTACAACGGACTAAACTCTACTCCTTTTCACCACTTTACAAGTGCCTCAAGGAGTGGGGGACTGGAGAACCCCTTCAGGAAAATCATTAAATTACAAAAATGGTGAAAAATTCCAACAGGCGGCAAAGCAATCCCTCAAGTCCCAACATGTGGGTAACTGAGGGACTGCCTTCGGCAGGGACATACAAGCAACAACTCCTCACCAACCTCAGAGATTACAATGGAACAACGGCAGGGGACAAACACAAATTACTCCTTTTCCCTCAAGTACCTTTCAGCAAAAGGAGTGAGGGACTCCTGATGGAGTATATGGCCCGGGAACACCCGACCCACAGACTCCTACTACTCTAGTAAAGGCCCAACAGGTCCAGAAGGCCCAACAGGCCCAAATCACGGCGCCCGGAGTACCAAGCAGCCCACAATGCGCACCAGGGGTGCCTTCGGCCCCACTGGCCGAAGGCTCTAAACTCTCACAGAATGGGTTTCTCAAGCAAACTAAGAAACTGGGAGAAAAACGGCAGAAAATAGTAGCCCTCGGCACCTGGAGCCCTCGGCACCCAGGGGTCCCCGGCACTCAGAGCCCTCGGCTAGTCCTCTGCAGCCGAGGGCACCTTCCCCGACATGATATCCGCGCCACATGCGTACAGATCACCGTACCCTGTACAACGTCCCATCCAACAGCCGCATTAAATACGGCCACATGCGGTTGCCAGCGCCAACCAGATGAGGTGACCTCTCGGCCAATGGGCGCTTGACACGTGTCCCTGTCCGGCATTTATTGCTACTATAAATAGCACCCCATTTCCCCATTTGTAACCAAGTCATAAACGCTGCATACTTTCTAAATACACTTTCTCTCTCTATACTTACTGGCTCTGACTTCTCTCTTGTTATTCCCCGCAATAACCCCCCGGATAAGCTACCCCCGGGTACACTATCCATCAGTACACTTTTTCAATAGTGTGTGGCTGTGTGCATGTAGATTGTAGAGTGCACGTGAGTGTGTGAGTGCATTTAAGTTAGAGATTTTGAAATTGAACATTTGAACGCATGTTTCATAAAAAATCGAGGTGATTTAAGATAATAGATGAGGAGAAATTAATTGATTTAAAAATTATTTAAACTTTTTTTTACGGGAGTGACATGACAATAAGAAATCATTAAAAACTGTAAAATTGAAGAACTTTGATCTTAATCTTGTGTATTACTCCGTATTACAAAGTCAACTACCGTAGTAGCAGTTGAAGCCTCAAAGGCAACTCATTTCCATAGTCGACCGTGGCAGCATATAGTTCGACCGTACCAGCCACCGATTGAAAAACATGGAGCCAACCGATCCTCTGCTACTCCCAAGTCCAGGAGGGAATCAGTCCCAAGAAGAAGAAGCTAAATTGGTGAATGAAACATGGGGAGAATCGAAGAAAATATGGTAAATAGCCGGACCGACAATCTTCAGCCGTCTGGCCATGTTTTCGCTTACCGTCATCACCCAGTCATTCGCCGGTCACATCGGAAACAACAACCTCGCCGCCATCTCTATTGTCACCACTCTTCTCATCGGCATCACCTTTGGCTTATTGGTATGTTGAGCGAAAACCTATTCCTTTAACTATTCTCACTCTCCAAGAATTATAACACTTCTATTGTTGCCTGTTTGATATTTTGGACATGCTGTTATACTCTTTTTCGCATGTTTAATTCCAAGAAGTGTTTTCATGAGATTACAAATTTCTAAGAATACTGCAATGTGGTTTTTAGAAGGGTAGCTTAATGCTTCATTATTGTAGATGATTTAAATGTGCCCTCAAAAATTAGTGGCTGGCCTTTGACTTAGCAGAGTAATCTCTAGGTTTAGAAAGTATGGGTGCTCGTTCTTTAGGCTTATCAGAATGCATTACTTATCGGAGCCTAATGTGCTTTTATACCTTTTTATGACGTCAAGTTTCATCCTAAACAATCTAACCTTAAAGGAGAAATTATGCAATACTGGATATATTAGTATGTACATTAATAGGTGGAATTTGACTTCGCACGGTCGCACCCCATTTTGGGTGATATTAGGCTTTGCACCCTATTTTCAGAATCATTAATGTGTGCACCGTATTTAGTATAAAATCATTTGACTTTGCACCTTCATTCCTTCACAACTTTTGGACTGATGGGATGCATACATTAATATTTCTGAAAATGGGGTGAAAAGTCCAATATAGCCGAAAAATTGAGATTCAAAGTCAAATTCTCCAATTTAACATCGTATCAATGTGAAACGTGTTACACACTGGAATCTTCAATCAAAACATATGTAGTCAAAATTTAGCAGATTTCTTAACTGATACTGCTTTGATGTGTACCTTGCACATTAATTATCCATGCGAAATGTGTGTTACACTGGAATTTTCAATCAAAACATTTGTACTCAAAATTTAGCAGTTTTCTTAATTGATACTGCTTTGATGTGTACCTTGCACATTAACCAGCTTGGGATGGCAAGTGCAATGGAAACGTTGTGTGGCCAAGCTTATGGAGCAAAGCAGTATCACATGCTGGGCATTTACTTGCAGCGCTCATGTATTCTGCTCTCTTTGAGCTCTATTGCTTTGTTGCCTCTTTTTATGTTTGCCTCTCCCATAGTGAAACTCTTGGGTCAGCCAGATGATGTGGCTGAATTGACTGGTGAGGTGGCGATATGGCTAATCCCTATGCACTTGAGCTTTCCCTTTCAGTTTACATTGATGAGGTTCCTGCAGTGCCAACTAAAGACTTTGGTGATCGCTTGGGTTTGTGGTGGAACACTTCTACTCCACATAGTTTTGAACTGGGTTTTTGTTTATACGTTTAGAGTTGGGATTGTTGGAACTGCTATTGTTCTTGATATTTCATGGTGGGCTTCTGTTATTGGACTTGTTGCTTATATTGTCTTTGGAGGATGCCCACATTCCTGGACTGGTTTCTCTAGGCAAGGGATCTTTGGTCTTTGGGAGTTCTTTAAGCTTTCTTTGGCCTCTGGAGTTATGCTCTCGTGTGTTTCTCTCTCATTCTCTCTCTATCCTGCACTCAGTGCTTCCAGTAGTGTGAATATTGATCTCATGACAGGAAAAGAAAAATAAACTATTGTCATTTCAGATTGGAGAATTTCTACTTTAGAGTTTTAATCATCATCTCAGGCTATATGAAGAATATTGATGTTTCCATTGACGCTCTCTCCGTCTGGTCAGTGTGGTCTGTTCTGGAATTAATTTAAAAATAAGACTATGTTTGGCACATCATAAGGTAGTTTATTAGCTAGCTATTATATCTTCTTGAGAAAGTTTTTCAACATAACTTTTGTTTGGTTGAGCCAAGCTTCAGAGTACTTTCCAAACAAGCTAGTTAGATTTTGTATATAGTTTCATTTCAACCTCAATTTTTTTAAATATACCTTTCTATGTCATTTTATATTTCTATAGTAGCTTGTCAACTTGTTACCTATTATTTACAAAACCATATATGAAATCAGCTAGCTAATCAGGTGTGACTTATAAGCATGTTTTGCCAAACATAGCCTAAATATGTTTTGGTTTCATGGTGTGAGTAATCAATTGTTCCTTGTTCTACAGTGTTACTATCATTGCTTGGGAATCCATGATTCCATTAGGACTATTTGCTGCAACAGGGTATGTCGGTGATTTTAGATTCTTTCATTTCATTTTTAAATGGTTGAATCTCCTGAAATCTTTTAAAAAAGAAAAAGCGTTGGTGGCATATACTTACGCCATATAAGTTGGGCAAAAGCTACTTATTCTGCTTATAAGCAAAACAAGCCAGAGCTGGCTACCAAACTGAGCATGTTTAATCCTTGAGCAGAATTTAATGCTAGTTATCTGATTAGGCAGGAAAACAATAATTAAAGGGAAATTAAGCAAAGACTTATGTTTACTAAAGTAACATGCATTTTATGTTCTACAACAGGATTCGTGTGGCAAATGAACTAGGAGCAGGAAATAGAAAAGGGGCAAGGCTTGCAACTAAAGTGTCATTATTGAACTCTTTCACAATCGGCGTTATGTTTTGGTTGATTATTATGACATTTCCTGAGAAGCTTGCTATGATCTTTACCTCAAACACGTCTGTTATAAAAATGGTTCACGACCTTTCATTCTTGTTAGCAACTACTCTTCTCATCAACTGCATTCAACCCATACTCTCAGGCAAGAAAACATAATATCCAGTTTCTTGTAATTTTTAGGCCCGTTTGGTAAGGAGCTTAGGGATATTTAATAAAATCATTTTCGCCACATAAATCAATATTTTTCATAGCCTAACACAACAATTTCAGGAGTAGCTGTTGGATTTGGTTGGCAGGCGCTGGTGGCATATGTAAACATCGGAAGTTACTATCTCATTGGAATCCCATTAGGGCTAATTCTTGGATACCTCTACCATTTCGGATTGAAGGTAATCGTATATGTATTACGAATTACTGACTATGTTTAAGATCATGGAAGCAAAGTCTGTGTCATTGTACTAGGTTTTGGCTGGGCTAGTTTTTAACCCCCTTATTTTCAGGGCATCTGGATAGGAATGATGTGTGGAACAGTGGTTCAAACATTGATTTTAACCGTTCTCACATTGAGATGTGGGTGGTAGAGGTAAATTTAGGGGCCATGGGTTTTCTCCATTATGTTGTTTGTAAAACAGCCCTTCTTCCTGAGCAACTGACGTTAAAATCCCACTAGAGGGACCAAATCCTCATAGGTATCTTACTCTTTCCTTGGATCATTTAAAATGTGAAGTTTTTGTTACCCTCTTCTCACTGTGCTGGTATCAGTTAACTGAACCTGTTGTGTATAAAAGTGTAATGTACACATTAAAAGTGCTTATAAATGTTATATCCCACAAGTTTACTCGTTTGACAACGTTCTAGAAGTATGGCAAATAAGAGTTTTGGGCTTCAGTTTGAGAATGCAATGTATTAGGACGGGTTGTGCTTAAAAGTTTGGTGCCAATAGCATTATATAGAAGGGAACTGGTCCGGTTCTGATCTCAGGACTAGCCGGTCCACCATCATTTAAGAAATTGGCTCCTTAACCATTGCTACTGGTTAGGGTGCAATATTGGTTTATAATTTTCATTTTATTTAGAGAAAAGTTTCAAATAAGCCCCCATACTGCTACGAAAATGTCAATTAAGGGCATCAACCCAAATATCACTCAATTAAGCATGTGAACTTGTAAAAAATTGTCAAAACCGTTTTTACCAGGTAATGAACCGGTCACCGACACGTGGTGACACGTGGCATTTTTTCCTTTTCTTTTTCTTTCTTTTTCTTTCTTTTTCTTTCTTCTCTCCTTCCTCCTTCCTCCTTCCTCTCTTTTCCGTTGGCTCTTTCTTTTCCCTGTGGGTTAGTACGTTGCTGCCTCCCCGTTTCTTATTTTCCTTTCTTTCATTCTTAATCTCACCCATTTGGCTTGATCACACCCCCAAGATACCCTTGTTTTTTATTTTTGAATTTTGACATACCATTCAAATAATATTCAATCCATGGATAAAAAAGAAAAATAAGAACAATAAGAACAATAAATAAACTTAAAAATTGATGGAGAAGATCAGCACTTCATGAGATGGAACGTTGGTAAGAGAGGATGACAACGTTCAGGGAAGATGACCGGAGCTCTCTTTGCCACAAATTGGCCGGAGAAGACGACCGGCGGTCGACTCAACTTCTATGGCTTTGCCGGAGGTTGGTTGGGGGAAGAAGACTGGCTCTCGGATCCGACTGGTGATTGCAAAATAAAGAAGGAAAGAAAGAAAGGTAAAGAAGGGAAAGGAAGAAAGAAAGGTGCATGACAAGGAAGAGGGGGGAGTGCGGGAGAAGAAAAGGGGATGGGGTAGACAGAGAGAGAGAAAGAAAATAAGGAAAGAAAAGGAAAAACAAATAGAAAAAAGAAAAGGAAAAATACAAAAGGGGGAAGTCCTCTGGCCTTGGGTATTTATAGGCATCGCAAATCCGGGCTTGGACCGGAAACCGGGCCTCCGGTTGAAAAGTCATCATTACGAACCGTTGAATTGCCCAATCGGTGACGCCCGCACACAGACAACCAACGAACGTACACCACGTGGAGGCCCCCCCCCCAACGGCTATATTTCTGACGTTAGATATTCCAACGGCTCTATTTACAACGGCTATATTCTGGGAACAAAACCCGCGCCTTCATCAACCAGTAAACTAGCCCTCGGGCTTTCTCCTTCACTCCACTTCATCAAGAGGAGCTCCCGGGTAAACTTATCCAGAGATGCTCCCGGCTTAGACCCCTCATACTATATCACGAATGCCTTCAGGCTCACTCCTTCAGAAGTCCACGGCTTCATAACGGGCACACCCCTCGGGAACCCTCAGCCCTCAAACACATTGAGGGCCACGTAACCCCGGGGAACACACCTTCATCAACGATCACCCCCGGCTACGCAACAAGGAACCCCTCGGGGCACCACAGCCCCCCACTTGTAAACAAACAAGGGACCCCTCGACAACACCGGAAATATCATCCACATTCATCACGCCCTCATTCTCACAATTTGAGGGCTCCCCCTTCGGCATCTCTCAGGATAACAACAGTGAACCTTCGGCAAATCAACACACGCGCCTTCAGGCAGGGATAGCCTTCGGCAAAAAATATTACCACTCATTTCAAACCGGGATTTCACCTTTTCGACTCATCATTGGGGGAATTCGGTGCACTCTTTTTCCCTCATTGGAATTTTTTTCCCACAGGGTTTTTTCCAAGGAGGTTTTTAACGAGGCATCCCCCCAAAATGAAATGAAAAGTGTCACCCCTCGGCTTCATATTGCAGGCAAGCACTACTCTACTCCTTTTCACCACTTTGCAAGTGCCTCAAGGAGTGGGGGACTGGAGGACCCCTTCGGGGAAAATCTCAAAATACAAAAAACGTCAAAAATTCCCACAAACAACGAGCATGATCCCTCAAGTCCCGGAATGTGGGTAACTGAGGGACTGCCCTCGGCTGAAACATGCACACAACAAACTACTCACAAACTTTACATACTACAACGGAACAACATCAAAAGGGCAAACACAGATTACTCCTTTTCCCTCAAGTACCTTTCGGCAAAAGGAGTGAGGGACTTCTGATGGAGTATATGGCCCAGGAACCCTCGACCCATAGACTCCTACTATCCTGATGGAGGCCCAATAGGCCCAGGGAGCACAACAGGCCCAAAACACAGCGCCCCAAGTACTGAGCAAACCACGTAGCACACTGGGAGTGCCTTCGGCCCACTGGCCGAAGGCTTCAAATTCTCACAGGATGGCCAACTCAAGAAAACAGAGTTACTGGGAGAAAACGGCGAAAATCAGTAGCCCTCGGCACCTAGAGCCCTCGGCACTAAGGGGGTCCCCGGTACTCAGAGCCCTCGGCTAATCATCTGCAGCCGAGGGCACCTTTCTCGACACAATATCCTCTCCACATGCGCCTGAATCATCGTACCAAGTACGACGTCACATCCAACAGCCGCATTAAATGCGGCCACGTGCGACTGCCAGCGCCAACCAGTTGATGTGACCCCTCGGCCATTCGATGCTTGACACGTGTCCCTGTCTGGCATTTATTACTACTATAAATACCACCCCATTTCCCCCATTGTAAATACGTTGAATACATATCGAATATACACTCTCTCTCTTACTTACTTGCTCTGACTTCTCTCTAGTTATTCTCCGCAATAACCCCTCGGATAAGCTACCCCGGGTAGATTATCCATCAATGCTTTTCATGATAAAAAGGGCTTGCACTGTAATCAAAGCTACCTATGTATTTTCTTTATAGTAATAGAGAAATAAAGTGAATATAGGTCTTTAGTTTTGTTATTTCACTCTTAATATTAATAAAAGTTGAGTAATAATTGTCTATTTATCAAAACATTAAATATTAGTGTTGGTTTCGTTAATGAAACTATTGATGGACTCGGGCCGGGCCTAGGCCCGGTCGGGCCGCCGGGTTGTATGACATGGGCCCGGGACCGGCCCGAGGGTTGGACGGGTCCGGTTAATTTTTTTTTATAATTTATATTTTATAGTTTATAGTTTTATACGAGTATTAAAAACAAACTTCAATTGCATTTATTTGAAATGAAATAGGAACTACATTTGAAAATTAAAACAAACTTTAAGAGAAACATTTTGAAAATTGTAATCAATCGGAACTTCCCGCACCTCCCGATCCTTTGGCCTTGTCACATGACTTCATATGCTTGATTGTCATCCCGAATCCGCCTGAAGCTCCCATGCTACATTTTTTCTCGCACCATTTGCAAATTGCGTACCACATCCCGGTCTTCGGGTCCTTCTGCTTATCAAAATTATACCGTATAATGGCATCTTGATTTTCCATCTTAACTTCTTAAGTATAAACTATAAAGTAGATATATAAATAATAAATATAATATATTGGAGAATAAGAGAATTAGAGAGTAGAGAGTTAAGAATAGGATTTAGGAAGAATTGGAGAAGAGATATGAAAAAATGTTTAAGATTAGGAGTATTTATAGGTTTTTTTACCCCCCCCCCCCCCCACCCCTCCACCCCCACCAGCCAACCCCCCCGGACCCCCCCTTTACCCCACCCAACGGCTATATAGCCGTTTGGGTTGTCCCCAGCCCCACCCCCAACGGCTAGTAGCTCAACCAAACAATTTTTTTTTTAAAATAAGACTGGACCCGGGCCCGGGCCCGACCCGGCCGGGTCGGGTCACATTATTCCAGCACCGAGCCCGCCCCGCCCCTTCCCACCGGTTCGGGCCCATACCCGGTCCCGGACCGCCCGACCGGGCCGGTCCCGGGCCCGCACAGTACCGGGCCGAGCCGGGTCACGGGCCGGGTGGCCCGAACCGAATCCAACCCTACATGAAACGATGTGTTGGTGTGATGTTTTATTTTTTGTACGTATATAATATCTTGCTTTTAGGATGTTTTTACTTGGACCGTAATTTGTTGGTCTGGTCTGATCTGGTCTTGTCTGGTCTGATTTCTTTGTATTTTTATAACTATCCAAGTCTGGTCTGGTCTGGGAGGAATTACAGTCCAAGTAAAAACATCCTTATTCGGGTTTTGTGTAAAATGTTATCAAAAATTTCCACCCTGGAGCCCCTCAAACGAGCTTGGCCGGACGGCGGCTCCGGATAGACCATCCTGTCAAGACCTGAAACCGCCGTCAGGCCAAGCCCATTTGAAGAGCTTCCGGTGGAAATTTTTTATTAAATTTTGTGAGCATGATCTTCATGAAGTGTAAATTATTTTCACAAATTTAATTGGGAAGCCAGTTTAATAAATTATCTTAAAACATTGTGCTTTATACACACACACACACGTAGTATATACTATCCTCCGTTCCTCAAAAGTTGCAACAGTTTTACTTTCACGTTTACCAACGCGCAACTTTGACTGTAATTATATTTATTTACGTATCAGTAAACATTAAAAAAAGTTAATATATTGAAAATTTACATTAATATAAATTTATTAATATTTTATACATGATATTTTTATTATATATATTATTAGAATATCGTAATAGAAGTGGGTAAATGAACATTGTAAGTGGTGTTGAATATTGGACAAAAATTAGGAAACAATGTAATGTTTCAATGTAAAAGTGTACCGGTTGTACTGTCAATCTTGCCATGTTTGCTTTGATATTTTCTTACCATCATTGGCTTTATAATGTTCTACTCCATGTCTTTGACCAGATCCAAACTCCTAATCTCCATGTCTTTGACCGGATCTAAAACGAGCATGTGCATGAGTTGAAAACAGGAACAATAAAATGATCCTTAAAGCAAAAGTAACCTAAAACATCATTGTTTATGGCCCTTCAATGGTTCTTATTCAAACTTTGGGAGTGCGTCCATCTTTTTCTTTTCCACCTCTGGCCAGTGGCCTCTGGGCTGTCTGGGGAAACGGCCCTTGATTTGTATACTTTGAAATATTTGGATATTTATTATTGCAACAGTCAACATTTCACGTTTGCTGACGTACAACTTTGACCGTCATTATATTTAATTCTATATTGGTAAAAATAAAATAAAAATTAGATTATAAAACTTAATAATGAGACGAATTTAACAACATTTTTCAAAAAAAAAATAACTCACATATATTAATAAATAAAATGTAGTCAACGTAAAGTACATGAATAGTGTATATATTACAATGTTGCAATTAATGAGATACGGATGATAGTATACTACAAGATATTTGATGAAATTAGATGACACTCTGAATCAAATATTTCATATAGACAAATTCATTACTAGTATTATTTAATAAGACCCCATCTACAAATATACAAAATTATTGCAATAAATTTCTGTTAAACCCCGTTGTCAAGAGGGCAAAAGTTTATTAAGAGACTGTTCCTCGGCACTATCGTTTTCCGCCCCACTAAAGAAACGATCAAGAGGGGCCTTGACGGACCTAATCAAACTCGTCGGAACTGCCATCAATTCCTCCCCTCCACCGCCACGCTCATCTTTTAGCGGCGTGTACCCCAACTTCCCATTGACGGATCTTCCCAAACCAGCCCCACCGCTGTTACTTCTATATCCCTTCCTCCAACTTCTTTCGCCGGCCGGTAACTCCGCGCAACTGCGATTTCTACTCAGGCCGGCGTTGACCAACCGGTTTCTGACTTCCTCCGGTACTCTCAACGTGAACCGCTCTACATTTTCTCCCGGTCGAAGCAGCGAGTCACAGTAATGACCGGTTGTGTGAGACCGGGAGAATTTCCCGGTAATAATCCGATGTCGTTTCGGCGTTGACCTTCCCGTTGCGGCGGGGCAGGCACCGTTTATCTCCCCATTGCCGGAATAATGAACTTGTTCATAGACGGGCGAGTCAATGGCCGGGTTATGACTCAGTAAAGTGATCCTCCTCCTCCCCGGACCCACCGGAAGGAGATTTGTGCGGCAAACGGGGCACGTGACGTGTGACGCAAGCCACCCGTCGATGCAAACCGGGTGGAACACGTGAGAGCAAGTGGGAAGCAGCCGGAGCGAGTCATCATCCTCGAACTCGTTCAAGCACACCACGCATTCCAGCGGCGCCGCCTTGCCGCCGACCTTGAGTCCCTTAACGTCGGAGTAAAGGAACGTCGGGAAGGTGTCGATGAAATGCGGGTCAAGCCCGTAGGCCGTAGACCGGCGGAGGCGTCTACGCCGCCTCCGAGAGTCGCCTTCGGTGAATTCGATACTCATCCTTTGCTCGGTGGTGCAGCACCGAGCGTAGATGGCGATGATGAAACAAATGATTATAACCAAACCGATGAAGGAGAGTATAATGAGTGCCGCGAGAGAGTTGAGCATCAGTTCCGGCGGAGGTGGAGGAGGTTGTAGTACTCCTCCTGCCACCGGTGGGGAGAAAAGAGCGAAATGAAAGATGACATAGTACATAGAAGCCATGTTTGTTAGAAGAAGATATATTTGGCTTATTGCCTGAGCGGTTTTTATATTCATGTAATATGGTGTTATGACTGTTCTCTTCTGCCGGAATGCGGCCGGCCGGCGGGCTAGGTAGAAGAAGGGGATCGAAATATATATGGGAGCTGATCGAGCGTGCTTGCATGAATGTTAACGTTAGATTGTTAGCAGACTTGAGAGCGAAACAGAGTTTGAGTTGACTATAGTGGTTGAGAACATGTATTCATTAGAGCTTTTAGAGGCATAAAAAATTAGATTAAAAGTGAGGGATTGATTTAACAAAAGTTAAAAGACAACATTCTTTAAAAGAAAATTCTTTAAATGAGAAATAGAGCATTGTAAAATTTTCAAAATCTTTATATTTTTTCCCTTTCCAAAAAATGACTGAAACACTCCTTTGTGGAAGTTTTTATTCTTTTATTTCTTTTGGAAAGAAAAACATAATCCGTATTTAATCTTATTTATACGGAGTACTCCGTAATTCTTATTAGGACTCTTCCACAATAAAAAATCTTATTAGGACTATAATAGTAACTTTTCTATGTTTTGATATCTTATGTTCAGAAATTTCTAAAATTTAGAAATATTCAAAATGAGCAAGGCATATTGCACATGCCACTATTTTAGTTGAACATTTGGAATATAATCTAATCAATCACATTGTCCAATATAGAACTAAACATAAACATAATTGCATAAATAGGAGTAAAACTTCAAACTTCACTCAATAGGAGTAAACACGAATTTTCTACCTTTAATAAATACCCCTATCTAATTAATTAATTCTAATATAGAACTTATTTGATCCTATTATTAATATATAAAAATTCTAAAATCTTTTTAAAAAATATTAAAACAATAAAAATTTAAAAAAATGAATTTTTTTTAAAAATAAAAAACTTTAAAAATAAATAAAAAAATAGATAAACACATTAAAAATATAAAAAATTTGTGGACGTCTTTCCCGCAGCCTCGGTCACCGCCCAACAATTTCACCTCCGATTGACGAAAAAATGTCATTTTGCGTAAAAACTGCCATTTTTTTAAAATGCCATAAAAATACTCCGTAACATTTTTACTCTTTGAAAATGCCAAATTCTCTAAATCTGTCATCAAGATGGCATTCCGGTGGCTGGAGATGGTGGTACTGGGAGGTTGCTGAGGCGGCAGCAGAGGCTAGCATATTTTTTTAATATTTTTTACATTTTTTATTTTATTAGTTTAATTTTTTGAGTTTTTTATTTAATATTTTTTTACTTTTATAATTTTTTTCCCAAACACTAAAATTACTTCTATTCAAAACATGGTGCTCCTATTTTGCATTTTGTCTATGTTTTATTCATGTTTGGGGAATTCCCTCTTTAAATAAAAAACTAAGTGGAGAGGAAATAATGCGCTAATTTGAAACATACTACTTACGTATGTATAATGTGTAATAACTTTGTTTAACATATGTAATTTTTAATTTCCAAATTTAAATCTCTAATTTAATGTAATTTAATTTTAATGTTATAAATTTGTTCAACATATGTAATTTGTAACAGTACGGGGTGCGTACTGTGCATATTAATTTTTTACAGAGTGGGATGTGTAAAGTTCAACTTGTTCAATAAAGAAGGGTGTAAAGTGAAAATACAAAAACACTTTCTTACTCACAATGCCTCAAAATAAACTTCATTATCTCATTTAATCATTTTCATCTGTCTCAAATTTTCAATATAAATTTGTTTTTCTTTATTAGCAAAGAATTTGAAATTCACAATATTTCCCTTTTATTTGAACAACTTTAGGTCAAACAATTTACACTTTGAAAATTTGTTTTCTACTACCTCCGTCTCAATTTACTTAGTCATCTTTGACTTTTCCAGTCAAAGGTGGTAAACTTTGACCAATTATTTAAACTAATATATTTATGCAACATTTAATAATTTTATATTTTTATGATCGTATTTTTGACAAAGAACATTTTCATATCATTTTTATATTATTAGTATTTTCTCTATATAAATATATAATCGGTCAAAGTTAGACGTCATACTTGAAAATTCAAATTTGGCTAACTAAAATGGGACGAGTATAATAAATCAAAATTTAAACCCTAAACATCTACTATCGTATCTCAAAATTACCCTACATAACAAGATAAATGATAAATAAGTAATAATAGAATTGGCCCTTTTTATAATATATACTCCGTATTCACTTAATAGCACACCACAAATGACGTTTCTATATATCAAATATTCCGACATCAATATTTTAAATCACTTCAATTTTCAATTATAAATCACTTGTAAGAAACGTTTGTCTTTATATCACTGTCTTACCAAAGTACAAATTATGGTGTAAAAGAAGTTTTAGTAAATGTAATTTGTGGGAGAGTCTTGTTAACATGGCCTCCGACAGCAGTTCGTAGTTAGTACGCTAGGTAGGTTGAATATAATGATAGTTGGTTAAATAAAGCATTTAGCAAATTAAAGCAAGCTAAGTGGATGATACTTTGAAGGATAATCACAGGACATATATTTAGAGCATGATTTTCATCTAATAACTAGCAAAGAAATCAATTGGCTTGTTCACTAGTGAAAAACACTAGTCTGATATTGGCTCTATCCTTCCAATTGGTTTGTTACGTTCTTGAAAAATTAATTCCTCATTACTAGTTGAATTATAATTGTTTCATTTGAGATTCTTTATTGAATTTTTTAATTTGTGTGATAATGTACTTGACCCTCGTCAGGGCCGTCTTTTAGGAGGTGCAATATATGCAATTTAGAATGTAATGTTAGTTATAAGTTTATTTTTATAGATGTTATGTACGTATTATTCAAGATTCCAAAAGATATATAATTTTTAGATTCTCTAATTTGTGCACTTTAAACATCATAAAATTTATATTTCATTGAACTGTCTAGTCTACATGTATTTCATTGTTCAAATTTGTAATTTTGTTGTTTTAGGGGTCCTCAATTTTCCATATGGAATCGGGGCCTCAAAATTCATTAGACGGCCCTGACCCTCGTATAATGTTTAGACTTGTGATCGAATGTTAGTTAACATTGTTCTTGTTTGAACTTATATTACCTACAAATTTGATAAATATCATTCAAATAAAATCCATATATCAATCAATGAAATCGATCAATTCGTAAAAAGTAAATGAATTTAAAAGCTTATGATATTTTAAAAGTCCACATAAAAAGAAAAGTTCATCACAATCCATGCACAACACACCCCTTAATAACTTAATTGATTGGTACCCCCTAATTGATGATGTAAACTAATTTTTAATTGTAGTTTTATAAGGCCCACAATTTAGACTGACAATTATTGGAGACTAAGCGCGCGTTAATAGAGCATGACACTTACGCACAACCCGAAGTCATGAAGTTAAAATAGGAGTACAAGTTATCATGCATATTCCATGTTGACATAACTAGAGGGCATTATCCATCGTTCAAAGAAAATAAAGATTTTAGATATGTATGTCATCAGTATGTATATGTGGTGTGTCTTAGTGGATATAAATGATATCCTAATGTTGAAATTTTCCTTGGTGGCTTATTGAACACCAGTCATTTTGTGCAATGGGAGAGAAAATGAGAATATAATACCCTCCAAGTATTTGTTACTTTAAAAGAAAAGAAATGACAAAGTTTTTTTGAGAACGCGCCAAAGAGAAAAATTTACCAAATTTTATGGAAAACACGATCCACACTATTTCAAATTTATTTCAGAGTGAACTTTGTTATGTTATTTCTCCCTTCTACTTTGTTATAAGCATCGTCTATGTATCTTCTAATTTCTCTTTGAATTAGAATTAGAATTGTCAAGGCTAGATTGACACTAAGTGTATTGGACTTAATACATTAGTGAAATCCATTTGAAGTAGGATGTGACTAGATGTAGGAGGATTACACCACCTCTGAACCAGGATATATTGTGTGTTGATTTATTTTCAGTCAACATAGCACACACTCAACACTTCTCAATAAAGGAATCGTAGTTTGCCAGCAGAATCCTAAGCAGTAGTCTTAATTGACTCTACTGCTTATCCTACTACTTAATAACTTACTTTTTCTTGAGACAACTGTTTCACAAGAGCTTCGGAACATCACTACTAAAAGGTCTGTTTTGACAGTTCTCAGAACACACTCCTCAAACACATCAGGTGCCTCAGCAGTTACCTGATTCTACCCAACTGTTGAGACCTCTGCTCAAGCAAAACACCTTAACATCTCCAGCTCAGCACACATTCAGTGAGCCCTCGTCACTCTGTATAAGGACATATAATCATCTCTCCCAAACTCCTATTTTCCTCTAGCAGTTGCCTCAGCAGTTCCCTGCCATCTAGGCAACTACCAAGCCAACTGCTCACCGTTTGAAGTCCAAATATCATTCAAGCTAGAAAGTTGTTATACATTTTTTATCTAAGAGGTTAAAGACTTCCGTTGTGCATCTATAAATCTCCCAAAAGGTTATAGATCAACTCATCTAGAAGGGAAAAGTTTTTAAAGTTGAAAAAGCTTTAAAAGTCTATTCACCCCTCCCCCCCCTAGACTTTTACCTCTATCAGGGACCATCAATAAATTTTATAAATATAATATATGTAGTTATAAATTTGAGAAGATGGAGAAGATTAGTAGAGAATAGAGATTAGAGGGTAGGAATATTTGGAGAAGATGTGTAGTAAATTGTATAGAAAAAATGGAGTATTTATAGATTTTTTGTACCCCCACCTCCCAACCCACCCCGGGACCCCTTGGCAGGCTCCCAACGGCTATAGAGCCGATTGGGTTGAAATACAACGGCTATAAGGCCTGTTTGACTGCCAAAGATTTTTTTTTTAAAATTAGCCGTTAGGCCGAGTCCCTATTTTCGTGAACCGTGCCCGAACCGCCCTACCCCCTCAGGCCAGTTCAAAGCCCGAACCACCCATAACTTACCCGGGTCGGGCCAGGCCCGCACAGTAACGGGCCGGGCCGGTTTGGTCCATCCCTAGTATGCATATGTGGTGTGTCTTAGTGAATATAATGATGATATCCTAATGTTGAAATTGTCATTTGTGGCTTATTGAACACCCGTCTTTTTGTGCAAGGGGAGGGAAAATGAGAATATAATACCCTTCGTCTCATAAAACTTGGCCAAAGGTTAATTGTACGTAAAATAATAAAGTAAAAAGTGTGTAGTTAAAATTTGTGTAAAGGGAGATAAATAACTTTAGCCACATATTGTAAGTAATTGTTACTTTAAAAGAAATGA